TTGACCAAGACTTTGACCAAGCTGGAATTGGTAACATCTCGCCAAGCCCTTAGCCTGCCCCTTGCCCTATGGATGTGCACATACCCCTTGGTATTTGCTGAGTACAGTCTGTCTGTCTATTCTTTCTRCATTGAGTCTCTTCTGTCCTAGGTCATAGAACTCTGTGGATGAAGGATAGGGCCTTGCTGCCAAACCTGCACGAGACTTAGTAGGACCAATCTCGACTCTGGTATCTGGAGACCTGGGCATGAGAGGCGAGCGCTCGTTAAACAACTCGTCTAGCCCAATGTCCGGTACTGTCCGGCAGGTCTGCTCAGTTTCAGTGTAGAGGGTCCGAACTCTGAGCTGCAGGCTGAAACGGAGGCCGTCTTTAAGTGTTGAGGGCCTGTTGGAACCACTCCCCTACCAGACCAAGTAAGGCTGATGATCTGTGTCTGACGACTCGACTGTCCCGAGGGATACGAACCCTCCCAAGGACCGGTACAGACCAGTGGGCTGCTCGGTGTGGCACAGTAGGCTGGAAAGGCTGAGTTGTGGGCTGAAAGCACAGGCAGAACCAAGCTGATCACGTCGTCCTGTCTGCGACGTTAAAGAATTCTTGAGGAGTTACGGGGGATCTCCTTAAATGCCTACTGATCAGCCACTGGTTCAGTAGTGACAGCCATAGCATAGGTCTAGGCTAGAGACCATAGTTGACAGGATCCCTGTCAGGATTCTGTAAGTCTTAGATTGAGTCTATAGGTTTGTCAGTTAGGGGTTAGAGTCTACGTGGTGAGGAGTGGAATCATCCTGATTGTGCACCTATCACCACGGTTGAGACCCGTACTGGGTTAGAGACTAATCCCTATAGTCAGGAGCAGCAAGAAAAGATGGCCGCCTTAGTCAGAGAGAACAGGGAGAGGAAAGAGCGTGAGAAGCAAGCGAAGCTAAAGGCTATCGCAGACGAACAGGCGGCGAAGATGAAGAGATTGGAGGAGGAGATGAAGAAAGTACAACAAGAGGAGGAAGAAAGAAGAAAAGTTGCTGAAGCAGAAGCGGCAGCAGAAGAAGAGAAAGAGAGGATGAGGATTGAGAGTGGAGAAGGGAGTAGTGGTGGCACGATGACGAGGGAGACAGATACAGGGCTGGAGAAGAGGATCAGCGAGTGGGTCGCTAAGTTATCGTTGGGAGAAGACGAGGAGGCGGAGTCCTATGTGACTAAGGATGAGAAGGCTGCGCTGGCCGCTGAGCTAGCAGCCATGACAGACCCGATGGAACGAAGAGAGAGGGAAGACGAGCAAAAGTTAGCATGGAAGTTGAGAATGAAGACGGAGAAGAAGAGGAGGAGAGAGGAAGTGAATAAGATGACCGCAGCAGTGGCAAAGGTGCAGGAGTGTAGAGCRGAGGTGCTGGCCCAACCAGACGATAAGGCCAAGTGGGACAAAGTACTGGGGTACCTGGAGGTGTTGAGTAAGGCCTGGATGGAGGAGCGCCAGGCGAGCTGAAGCCAGGATGTAGCGTTGAGTGCCATGCGGTCAGGGTTTAGAGATTTTGCGCGCGAGATCGTCACCCATATTGGGGCGAAGTGAAGCAATTGAGAGATAATGTAGGGAAGTTTTGTGAGGGCGCCATTCAAGGTGCCAAAGCTGTAGTCGCTGTAGAGGGAGAGGCCAAACCCCGTAAGGACCCAGTGAAACTCAAGTTCCCAGATGCGTACGGGGGGAAGAAGGAAGAGAACTTTGACAACTGGGAAGCCAGTGTCAACAGTTATATTTACTTGCAGCATATCCTRAYRGAGGAGCAAGTCCTCGTGGCCTTCCAGGCCCTGAAGGACGAAGCGGCTAGCTTTGCTAGGTCTCTCGCGCGTACAGCCGGTTGTGAAAACAACCTGGTTGCATATTCCAAAGTCACTCCTCTTTCCCAATTCCTCAAGATCCTCAAGGAGCGGTTCGCTGACCCAACGCGAGGCATTAGAGCTCCAAACGATCCACTCCCGGCAGTGGAGGAGTGCCAAGGCACTCAAGGGTACCATGGACGACTTGGTAGCCGTCCCGGACCACGGGGTCACTGAGCCCCAGCTGGTCCAGTTGTTTTATCGTGCCATTCCAGAGGCCCTACGCGGACATTTCTTTGACAAATCTCAGCAGGCCGACATGACTTACGATGTATTGAGTAGAGAAGTTGTCTTGTATGAGTCGAAGTCTATGCCAGTTACCACTTTCTGGCATAAGGACCTGGAGAAGGGGAAGAAGTGGAAAGATCATACCATCTCGGGCCAAGTCAAGGCCAAGGATCACTTGATCCTGACATTAGAGGAGGGTGGTACAAAAGAGGTCCCATATGATCAGATTGAGTGGGGCCTAGGGGAGGAGTACAGTTGTGTAGGGCAAGGGAGGTCTTACGCTGCTGTCGCGGCCGAAGGGAGGCCGCAAGGTAGAGGAGGAGGCCAGGGCCAAAGGGGCCAGGCCATGGGAAGCCGAGGACCGGGCGCACAGGGGGTTGGAGGACAGGGCCAAAGGGGCCAGGCCATGGGAAGCCGAGGACCGGGCGCACAGGGGGTTGGAGGACAGGGAAACCGCCAAGCGCAAGGTAGGGGTCAAGGTCCCCCGTTAAATCGCCAGGGTAACCGGTCCCCACAACGAGGAGGTGGAAGGGCACCTCAAGGAGGATGGCACCCAGGCTTGCCGCAGGGCAGGCCCTGGGAAGATCTGGGCTTGGACCAACGCTTATGGCAGGAACGCGTGAACCTGGGTCAGTGCGTATTTTGTGGTGACCCGGCGCACGTAATTAAATTTTGTCCAAAGTATAGATAGGCCCTTTGGACTGCTCAGCAAGCAAAAGGCAGCCGCCAGTAGGGGTCGCAACTGCCCCTACTTCCAGGCCATGTGGAGAAGTGAGCGCGCGCGAACAGGACACTCCCAACCCACATGAGCCTATGACAGAGGTTGCAGGTCTGTGCCTAGGTAGCTGTCCAGGGACTGCTTGTGTTAGCGTCTCTTTAGGCACGTCCCTCACAGGTGTGGCAGAAGAGTTAAAGGAGAGAATGCCAGCCTGGGCCAAAATGAAAAGAGAGAGTAAGGGACAACTGATTTTGGTAGACGTAGAGGTGTTCAGGAGTAGAGTAGGGGCCCTTATAGACTCAGGGGCTACCCGTAGTTACATTAGACGTAGGGCGCTGAAGAAGCTGAGGCTAGGACTAAAGGTCCAGAAGTTAATAGACCCTATAGTCAGTGTTCTCGCAGACAACCGCTCATGTGGGTTGGGAGTGTCCTGTTCGCGCGCGCTCACTTCTCAGAGGGAGTCCAGGCGTACTTTCGCCTAGAGAAGGATGGGAAGGTGGAGAAAGTTCTCCATTCCCTGACTCTCCTCGTACAAGATGACCTTCCTTTCGATGTAGTGTTAGGAATGGATTGGGGAGAGGGGAGAGGCAGCGGGGGCCACACTCCATCTGAGAGAGCATGAGTGTAGGCTCCCTAGTCCGTCAGGCGAAGTGAAGACTGCTCGCCTGTTCCATGCGTCCGGTGTAGATAACACCTTGGCGCATTGCTGTCTCAGTGCTCCCGCGTTCGCGCGATTAGTAAGAAAGGAGCAGTTAGCTGGAGGAGTTCAAAGATTTGACTGAGTCGCCGACAGGAGTAGTGCCGCGACCCATCCAGCATAGGATAGAGATAGAGCCTGTCAGTAGAACACCTAAGGGTGCAGTCTACAGGATGTCCCCTAGRGAGTTAGAGGAGCTTCGCAAGCAGTTAGACGAACTCCTTGAGAAAGGGTGGATCAGGCCCAGTTCGTCTCCYTTTGGAGCACCCGTTTTGTTTGTCCCCAAGAAGGAAGGAGAGCTGAGAATGTGTATAGACTATAGGGGATTAAATGCGATCACCGTGAAGAATGCTGAGCCGCTGCCCAGGATAGACGATCTTTTAGATCGGGTGCAGAGTTGTAAGTATTTCTCTAAGATAGACTTAAAGTCCGGATACCATCAGATAGAGGTTCATCCTGATGATCAATACAAGACTGCGTTCCGGACGAGATATGGGCATTATGAGTTTATTATGAGTTTATAGTGATGCCCTTTGGACTAACCAACGCGCCAACTACTTTTGAGCGTTGTATGAATGACCTGTTTAGACCATGGTTAGATAAATTTGTAGTAGTCTACTTAGATGATATCCTAGTCTTTAGTAAGACCCTCCAGGAGCACCAGGGTCATCTGAGGCAGRTHTTGGAGAAGCTTAGAGAGGCTAACTTCAAGATCAACGCGAAGAAGTGCGAGTGGGCCAAGACGCAAGTCTTATACTTGGGCCACGTGTTGGACGGAGATGGCATTAAGCCAGAGGACAACAAGATCGCAGCGATCAGAGATTGGCCGACGCCCCGCACATTGACAGAGTTGCGGTCGTTCCTAGGCTTAGCTAACTACTATAGGAAGTTCGTAAGGAACTTCTCTACTATCGCCGCTCCCTTGCGCAGGTTGCTGAAGAAAGAGGCAATCTGGCAATGGGACAAAGACTGTACGTCTGCGCTCAAGAAGCTAAAGCGCGCGTTAATAGAATATCCTGTCCTCAAAGTTGCAGATCCGTCTTTGCCATTTGTCGTCACCACGGACGCGAGTCAATATGGGATAGGCGTCGTGTTGCAGCAAGACGACGGCAATGGCTATAGACTCGTAGAGTTCATGTCCGCGAGGATGCCCTGTGAGAAGGTCGCTACCTCCACGTACGAGAGAGAACTCTACGCTCTCAGGCAGGCTTTAGAACATTGGAAGCACTATCTGCTTGGGAGACACTTCAAAGTGTATTCGGACCACGAAACGCTTAGATGGTTAAAGACTCAGGCCAAGATGACACCTAAGTTGACTAGGTGGGCCGCAGAGATAGACCAATTCGACTTTGAGCTCAAGCCAGTGAAGGGCAAGTACAACGTAGTTGCGGATGCTCTGAGTAGGAGATCAGACTACTCCGGA